CTGATGGCAAGTTTAAAGTTTTCAGGGGAAGATGCTGGTCAGATGAGTAACAAACTACTTTCCTATATCTCATTTTTCCCTCTACAATGAAATTGAAGGGAGCTGAAGGATTGCTGCCAGCCCCAGGTGCTGGGTGGATGGCGTGGAGCTGTGGAGGGGCTCGGGGAAGAGGTGGCTGGGAAGATGTGAGGATGGCTCAGGGAAACTGCAGCCACAGAGGGACCCTCATCCCCTGCAGTGGTGAGATGGGTAAATGATAACTGGCATGTGATTTTAATCAGGCTTTTTTTCTTGATAATGTAACTACTCAAAATCCAGTGTTTCAGATTGTTTCTTCCCAGGCAACTTTCTAGCTGACTTTGCAGAAGAAAAATCCAATTCTCAGTGTAAGAATTGTGTAAAAGCCATGCATTTTTCTCCTGAAAAAATGCTCACAAAGTGAACAGTTGTGTTTGCAAGCAACTCCACAAAGTTTTCACCCTACAATGAAAATAGTGGGAAGCAGGAGTGGATGGATCTTGACCACTGGCCACAGAGGCCACCGGGTGCCCTGGTGTGACCTGGCACTTCCAGGGAAGAGCAACCCCATGGGGAGGACTCTGTGTTCCCAGAGAATCATCTGTTTTGAAACTCTAAGCAATACCTCCAGTTCCTCATTCTGCTGGACTATAATGATCTTTTTATAGATAAATGAGCATGACTTTCTGAGGAAAGGGTAATCATTAAAGAGCCTCTTAAGAAAAACCAAAGTCCATTGTCAAGGAAAGATAATAACCCCTAAGTTTAACAGGATTTCTGGAAGACACAGTTTTCAGAGCATTTTTGTGTTCCAGCAATTTACTCTTCCTCAAAAAAATAGTTATCGCTTCTTTTTCACCTGTCCAATCAAATATGACTTAAGTCCTCCAGTATTTATTTCTATGAATTTTTCACATCTTGATATTGAAAAATATTAAAAAGAAGTAAGAAAATATTAAAAAGAAGTAAGAAAATAATTGTCATGTATTAAGATACAGAAAAACATTTTTTTGTTACTTAGCAAAATGAATTATTCACAGAATTTATTCTATTATCTGCATTTTTAGAAGAAAAAAAAACCATATCCTTCAGTACTGCACAGGTATTTATTTACCTGAGAGTTGCACTTTAAATTATTTCTAGTAAAGCAAAATGCTAAATACCAGTACTATACAAAATACTAGTGAAGCAATATACTAAATAAAGAAATAAATAAAGAAGCTTTCTGTCCTAGATGTTAGAAATTCTTTCTTTAGAGAAACACATATAATATTTAATTTTTATAATACCATTTAGAGCCATTGCTTTTTATGGATACTATGCAAAGTATACAACCTGTGAGATCTTAGTTTTGTAAGTTAAATCAAGTGTATTTTCTATGTATAGATCTAGCCATTTAGAGTAGCACCAACAAATGGATATCAACAAATGGATATCAAATCTTACAAGTGACTTGATATTATGTTACAGACACTTATGTTTATAATAGTGGACAGTTCTCTGACTCAAATACTGGACTTTGGCATCAAAATAAATGCAGAAGATGCAAAAATTTGAAGTAATTTTAGAATTTAAAACTTATTTTTCTTCTTCTCAGTACTAATGATCAGTCAGACTTGGATCAAGGGTCAAGTCCTGGATCTGTTACACATGACAAAGGGTACCTAGCAAATTAACTCAGCTGAAGCCAGGAAAAATATTCATGATCTGATCACTGAGCATCAGACCACATCATTCTAGTCTGGCCTCGGAAATGGATGACTTTTATCCTCTCCAAACTGGCATTTACTCCAAAGAGAAAGCTCTCACTGCAAGGAAAAAAAGAAGAAGAAAGGAAAACAAGTGTGGACAACATAGCTGTGGTGGTGAGAGCAGCAGTCAGAGGTGTCTTCAGCTTCCTCCTAGGGAGCTGATTGTAAATATGGAAGGTGTGGCACATCCAGCATCCCTTTTCTGCCTGTTAGGATAAGGCAGAGGCATCTTCCAAGCGCTGGAGGAGATGCTCAACTCTCAAACTAATAGAATGCTGAATTAAAGTTTGCCTTTCTCCTAATCTCAAACTGAAAGATGCAATGATACACACCCATTCACTCCAAGCTATGTCTCCTCTCCCCCTTAAAAGGCCATTTTTATTTTCCCCACAATCAGGGGCAAAAAGGTTCATGGAAAAAAGCATTCCTTGCAAGTTTTCCTGCCTGGCAGCAGGAGGTCAGGCTGCAGCTCATTAGTCACACCCTTAACTTTGCCATCCTCAAGTACTTTTTTCAGATGTTGAAATGAGGCCTGAAATAGAACCTTAGATGCATCCAGCCTGCAGTGGAAAAGTGAAACACTCAGCCTGGAATTTCTTGTCAGATTCTTGGTCAGATATTGAAAGAGGTATTGAATCTTCAAAAAGTGAAGGTTCTTCCTTGGGTTACCCTGGCTAAAAATTAGTTTCACAAGAATTTGCATAAATAAATTTTTAAGAAATCTTACTATTTCAGGGAAATAAAAATACCAGTTATTCCCACATACAGAATTACATCATGTCAGAATAACAAACGTTTCCATACTATTTATATTTTTTTTTTGATCCAGAAACTGTATTTCTAAGTTATGTTATTTTTTCTATATGAGATTTAGCCAAAATGGTTATTCTGAAAAACCCCATGATATGATGCTGAAAATGTGCCAGAAGACTATAGCATGATAAATACAGAATTTTACATTTCTAGCTTGATTTTCAATTTTTTATTCCATTAATTTTTTTCTTACTTTGTGTAAAATACTATCATTCAAAAAATACCCATTTTTCTGCTAGAAAAAATATTCATAATTTAAAAAAAAAAAACTTGCTACAGGCTTACATTTATGACAGTTGGAATTTTTTACACTACACTTATTTTCCTAGAATGAATATTACAGGGATCTTCCACTTACAGTTTCTCTGGTAACATGACTAGGAGAGAAACCTTCTGACTCAGATGATTATTTTTTCATTTGCTTTATATTTTCATTTTTTATCCCAGGCTTTATAAACAGCTCCCCACCCTCTCAACACTGTAAGACAGATCTTATTTACATAAAACAGTTTAGCAGCTCAAATTTGAGAAGAAATGCCCTCAAGTTTGAGGGGTTTTCATCTTTCTGTGATTTCACTTGATGCCCCTGCGATCAAGCTGGATCAATCTATGGTTTTCCTGGTCAGCCCTACAAGCTTCATACAAAACACCATTAAATTATCCTCCTGCCAGACTGGATTGATGGTTGACCCCAGAAACTCCCTGTTGTAATGGCACAGCTTTTACCATTGCCAGAGACATTAATTAATGAGGCCCAGTAGGTGTGAGATAAAACATGCAGAAAAAATCCATATCCATATCCACACTTAAAAGGAGAGAAGAGAAAGAAGAGAGCAAAAAGGCAAAAAAACCAAAACAACCTCTCAAAAGCAGAGGAATGCTTGGCTGCTTTTTTGAGAGTGTAACACTTTAAGGCACTTGGTCTGTACAAAAGAGAAATATTAACTAGTGATGGTTGCATACTTGGATACAGCTGTATGAAAACTCTCAGGATGTTGCCTGGACTGACTCATTTTGGCTGATCTGAATAATGGAAAGTGTCTCATTGCTGTCTCATCTGGTGCCTCCATCTCACCACCACGTTACAGGACACAATACATATGGATATATCCATATCCTGGCTTTCATAGAGAGCTGGGTCATAGATCCCAAACCTGCACTTCATATATTTATGTGGACTAAAGGTGTTTTGTCTACAGATGCAGCAGTACCTTTAAAGAAGTGTCTTCGCATATTGGTTTGGGTTTTTTTGTTTGTTTTTCTTTTTCTGTTCACATCTGGCAACAAAAGGGGACTTTCAACTCCCCCTTTTACACTCAGCCTCACCAAAATCAGCAAGAACATTGCACAATCTCTACAGCACACATGGACAGAAGAAGTCTTTCTCCTAAGGAATGGATGGGAGCAGGCAAGACCAGGTCTGGACACAAAGTTTGAACTGACACAACAAAACTATGTCTATTTACCAATTACTTGAGAAGGAGATGTGGGGATCCACACCCAACCAAGACAAGGCTGAAGAAAAGGACTTCTGCTATTAAAATCTCTCCCAGGTTATATTATTTCTTTTTCCTATTTTCTTCACAATATACACTCCACCCTTCCTTCAGGGTCGTGACTACACAAACTGTCTCTCTCTGTACAAGTTAATCCTGGGATGACAAGTAATTTCCTGCTTCTTTGGTAAAGGAATAGTTATGGCATTAATGAAGATAAAATGGATTTAATTATTTAAAACAAAAACACAACCTAATATTGAATTTACAAAATTATGCCAAAGACATAATTAAGATAAATGTTGCTGTTTAATCTCATTTTCTATGATTCTCTGGTCAAGTAAATCCAACAAAATTGTATATGGATAAATAAAATGAGTCACTTCTCACGTGAACCCATACAAGCTATATTGTCTTTAGTAGAAGTCAGTTAAAAATTAGTTTCTAACTGAAATTCATCCTCAGACAGTGAAGCACAAACCCCACTTTAGTTCATCTGGAGGTCCTTTGGGTCCATTGGGTCTCCAAACACACCAAGGCTGGACTGTAGCAAGTGGGGGGAAGCATCATAGTTTTAAACATTAAACACTTCAGTTTCTTATGGCTGCCCTAATTTCCAGAGGTTCTACCAAGAAGCAAACTTAGCATGTCAAAGGAGAACTGTAAATCATATTGCTGGCACTCCAGATCAGTTTTTAACCATATGAGGAAATTGCTTCTCTGAAAAGAAACTCACTAGGGAGACGACAGGTTTCTACACTGAACTTTCCTTCCTTTCTCTCTCCTTCATTTTTTCTTCTATTGCTCTCATTTTATTATTTAAAAATGCTGAGATGTTAGAAAAGACATGGATCAAGTCAATGTGCCAGGCTAATGTTTAACCTTAAATTTACACATCACAGATAAAAAGGGGTTGTACTACAAATTTCACAGCTAAGTCCCTTATTTCAGCTTGCCTGGCAGAACCCATAGTACCAGGGTCTAAGTGCATTCCTCCTTAAATCATCCTTAGCTACCTGTTTTTTTATTTCTTAGAACTGAATTGGATTAGAAAAAGTCTTCTGGCTGAACAGTCTTTCAATTTATTGTTTGTCATCGCTGATCTACAGATAAGCTTCAGCTTTGCTGTCACCAGAGTTAATCTGGTCAGAGCACCAGACATAGTAAACCAGAATCTTCCATCAGAGAATTATACAATTGGTGCAATGCCAAACTTTGTAGCTCCAGAAGGCAAAAAATTCGTGACTTGGGACTATGTTGTTTTTGCAACATTATTTTTAGTCTCTGCCAGCATTGGAGTCTTTTTTGCAGTTAAAGAGAGGAAAAAGAAAACCTCGAAGGAATTTTTGGTGGGTGGTAAGCAGATGACATGTGGACCCATAGCTTTTTCTCTTACATCAAGCTTCATGTCAGCAGTAACAGTCCTGGGAACACCCTCCGAAGTTTATCGCTACGGGGCATCCTTTGTGCTCTTCTTTCTTTCGTACACACTTGTCATAATTTTTACTGCTGAACTTTATCTACCTGTTTTTTATAAGTCTGGCATCACAAGCACTTATGAGGTAAGTAAAAATCATAAAATAAACGCACTATTTTAGCATAATTAAATGTTGTGCATGTATTTTTTAGAGAATAATTAAATATCGAGCATGTATTTTTAGAGAATAATTAAATATCGTGCATGTATTTTTTTAGAGAAAAGTCTTTGACAGAAAGCTGTCTGCAGTGTTTCACAGAACAAATATATTGATATATTAATTATTCTTAAAAATGGTATGCATTGTTCAAACTAGTTATTTATACTGCATAAGTTGAAATCACAATCTAAGGGTTAGAGCTCCTTTTATGCACATATAGTACAGACAGGATATGGGTTTACACACCAGAATTTAAGCACCAAATTAAGTTAAGTTGGAAAATATTTAAGTGTATCCAAATGTTTCTGGTCTTTTGAGTATTCTGCTCTGGTTTAGGGAGACAGACTTTAAGAACAACATTCAATATTATCCAATTCAAACTTAGTCTAGATATGGTAATTTTGGCCAACTTACTGTATCTAAATAGTGGAGGTGGAAGGAAGAGAAAGATGGTGGCAGGCCTGCTCAGAAAATAAAAAGGAAAGAAGGAAATAACCAGTCAGGTCTGGAGAATGAATTCAAGCATTCTCTAGGAAATGAAATGAACGACTTCTGACTTTTGTAGAGTTTTTGCCTAGCATTTTCCCTGGAGCACATTTTTTCCTTCATAATACAGCTCAGTAGCAGCCCTTGTAACCTGCACATCCACAGGACAGCTACTGAGCATTTGGGATGGCCTCTCACTCACTCCAGCCTGCTCCTGCAAGTTTGGTTGCTCCTGTGGGCAGTTTCAAGTAAGCAAGAATTGGATGGTGGAACTGGATTAGTCACAAGGAGCTTTCTGGTAACAGAAAGGCTACTGATACTCACTGAACCCAAACCCAAGTTGGTCAAACAGATCTGCCTTGGAAATGTTTTCAGGTCAGTGAAGAGTAAAATTGGACATTGCTGCAAATAGTTGCATTTTCTAGTTGGTTTTGACCCAATATCAGATAATCAACCACTTTTGTCATCTGAGGCACCAGAAGTGTCACTGTAGACAGAGAGACCCTTCAAGCATGCTGCAAAGATGACTGTTGGCTTCATGAATTACTTTTAGAAATAGCTCATCTTAAATTATATTATTTAGAAATAGCTCATCATAAATTAGCCACGTATTTATATGGCAGACTGTGGGGTTTGTTACACAAGATCAGCATGAGCAAAAGGAAGTAAAAAGATGCTTTGGCAGTACAAAGTCCTCTCTTAAAAGAAGACATCAGCCCATGCCTGATGTCTGCTGGGGTGCACATGGGACTGTGGCCCAAGAAGAGCCTCCCTGCATGGAGGCTGCACAGGGCAGAGAGACTCTGCAGAGACCCCAGGGGGTGATTCAGCCTTAAAACTTGGCCCTTTGGGTCTAGAGATCCACTCACTTCTGCAGCTCTTTTGAAGGTGGCTACACCTCTCTAGATCCTTGAACCTGGAAGTCCATGAGATCCCCCTTCTTGCCTCTCCACATTGGCAACGTGCAGATTTGGCTTTGGGCTGAGAAAATGGGAAAGCCAGTTTAGCTCAGGCACTGGGAAACTCCACGTTGCTGCTCCACCATTTGCTCCACCTCCACTTTTGTCACTGCTGGAGTCAATGCTGCTTCTGCTAGACATGAGCTCAAGTTTCCTCACTGTGTAGCTGGAGTATAATTTCATTTGAAGTTTAAATTTCTTTGTAGCTCTTGGGGTCCTCCCGTTACTCCTGGTACAAAGCAGGTATTGATCACTGCAACCCAATATAGAGCTTCAAGTACATGGTGCAGATGAGAAGATTTCTTAAATGTAATTATGTCTAATGACAATCCTGCTCTTCTTGTTAACTACTCATAACAGCAGTGCCAGTAAGTTTACCTGCACAGTAAGGTGTTACTCAGGGCAAACAGAAGGGTAACATCTGTGTCGCAGATGCTACATGTGCACTTTACTGAAATTACACCTTTTCCTAGTATTTGGAGTTAAGATTTAACAAGATTGTCCGTCTTGCTGCAACCCTGATTTACATCCTACAGACGGTAAGACAACACTGACTCTTTTTTTTTTATGCTAACTTCACTCAACATTGATTTTCACAGACTAGTCTCACACAGCACATTTTTTATAATGAGGTGTTTTAATGAGTAATCTTTTTTTCTTAGAATTTTCACTTGAACTATGAATGCTAAAAAGAAAGTTTGATTATGTTTTTAACTAACTTCTCTAACTTTTCCTGTTTAGCATTAAGAATGTCATTTTAGCTGTCTTTAACACTCTTTAACTGTCTTTAACAGCACATTCTTGGTTTCATTATGTTCACTTACAGCCTCTCTCTCTTCCCAAACATGTGGATTCTGTTTTTCTTGAGAAGCTGGCCAAGCTTGACCGAGTATGTTTAGTTACCCATTTATGACACTGAGGTGAATGATCCTATTTGAAAACTGCTGCACAAGGTGTCCTGGGCAGATGCCTGGGTAGCTGTGGTCCCATGATGGTGACTGCTGGGACCATCTTGAAGGATTACATTAGTTGTGTATTTAATGGAAATATGGGTTTTGATGGGAGATGATGAGACATTTCCTTCTGCATTAATTCAGCTTAAATAATTCCCAAACCTTTGGCAGTAGATCTGAATGCTTATTGACTTTGATGCTTTGTTTCTCCACCAGTTCTCTCAGATCTTGCATGTAAAGGGTATTGGGTCAGTTACTTTGAAAGGGATTGAATGGAAAAATGAAAAATTAATTTCTGAGATAAATGCAACTTAACTTCTGTGTCACTGTGTTTTCTGGAGACACCCTTTTCCTATTTCATGAGGATATATTGTCATCTATTTGTCTTAGCATTAGAGAAAAAAGTAATACAAAGACAGAAAATAGTCCTTCCCTCAGAAAGTAGTTAAACACAAGATTTTGATTTTTAAGGGCTGAAACAGAAAGCCATATACAAGACCAGCTGATCTAAAGAAACCCCTAGATCTGGTGTTTCGCTCAGAGCCCTACTCTAAATACAGGTTTTATCACTGAGCACTCAAATCCATCATTTTTCTCCTTCAGATCCTTTACACAGGAATAGTTGTCTATGCTCCATCACTGGCACTCAACCAAGGTGAGTTCTTATGCTGCTACCCCAAATAACCACACAAGAAAGATTGCTTGAGTAAATGAAGTAACAAAAATAGATAAAGACAGAAACCCAACCATCCTCAAAGGTTCTATAAGAAGGATTCTGCCTTCACCTTGTAGCTCTGCATTTCTGGCTCCTCAGGTTCCCCTCACACCCAAACATCAGCAGGAGCCTCGTGGTTGCTCTTCTCCTTTCCTCTCAGAACCACCTGAAGGGATTTCAAGCACACAGTTTCCCAATATCCTGACAAAGTTCACAGTAAAGCTGATGATCCAAGACCATACTATGTACTTTGATTCCCCCTCTCCCTGTCTTTTGTATTCAGGTTTCCATGGGCATAACTCTTTTCCCCGTGGCCAGAGGTGAATGCTGTTCTGCTCTCTGTCCCCAGACTTCTTCAATTCATATTTGCAAACTAGGCAGAGAGCATCCATCACCACAGATGGGATTTGCAATTTTACTGTCATAGGGCACAAGGAATCATCATGGCCCAAATCCTGATTTTACCAAAACTGACTGGGAGGCTGTTTTCATTGTTCATTATCTGAGTTACATTCAGTCTGTCCGATCCCACTGCTCACACAGCACCAGATTTTCTGCCTCTGTCACGCAGCTGAATTCCATGTGAAAGTTCTCAGTCATGATTGCACCATACTAACTTTGCTAATAAGAAAACCTTTACGAATAGCTTTGCCCTCACAGATTATGAGTGGTGGGTGAGATTTCAGTATCAAAACAAAATTTGTGCACCTTGTGCAAAGAAGCTACGAAGCAAAATGAACACAGAAAGTTGTTTTAATGAAGCACATTTTAGCATTATACCATTTGATGCAGGTAATGGAGTTTACTTAGGGGTTGGGGTTTTTATTTTGTCTTAGGATTTTTGGGATTCTCTGAAGAACTTGGTTTCTGAAGACAAAGTTCTGCACTAAGAACAGAAGTGGGGCATTGCTTGTACACTCTGTCCCATCAGAATGACATTTTTGCTTTATGCAAGTCTTCTTAAATGTTACTTTTGCTTGAAAATGAGTTAATTTCAGTTTGAAAGAAAACAACAATGCAAAACAGTCTTCCTTAGCACTTGAACAATCAAGCAAAGATTGATAGACACAAAATATTAAAATTAATAATTACTCCTATCCATTTAAAGCTAAAGGATGGCAGCTCTTCTGCTACCTTCCAGATGGTTACATCCATTTCACTAACAATTTTGTTTTCATTGGTTTCACAGTCACTGGGTTTGATCTCTGGGGCTCTGTGGCTGCAACAGGAATTGTCTGCACTTTCTATTGCACTCTGGTATGTAACAGGCATAACTGAACAGCTGGAACACAGACAGTTAATTTGACCATCCTTTAAACATGACAGACTATCAGAGAAGGATGGCTCCTGTGGAGAGCATAGAGATAAATTTCTTCTAGACTCTGTGTTATAAGGAAGTTTATTTGGAGGGGAAAAAAATCCTCTCTAATCCTCTGCTGTGTCTCCACGTTTACACCAGACATCTTGAGACAGAGTCCAGATAAGGAGGCCAAAAGCTTCCCCTGTCATCTTTTGAGAAGATGATTCTTATCTTACAAATTACAGGCTGAAAAAACACTGTAACAAAAATTGTGCTCAAGAGCAAAGCACAAAAACCTAGGAAGGACAAGCAACAGGTCAGAGAGCTTTACTTTTGAGTGGAAGCAACATGAGACTCCAAATTCCAAAACAGTTATATTGTATGGGTATTTATAGGGAAGCAGCAGAGCCCAGGGGCTCAGGACACAAACAAATTGCCATTCCCTTTGCCTCTAATGATTTTTTTCAATATATCATTCCACTCTAGTTGAAAACACTTATGATATGCTCTGGTAGTGATTTGATCAAATGGGAAAGTAGCTGTGGAAGAAAGCTGAATGGCAAACTTTCCAGAGCTGTTTTTCTGTGTTAGGCTAACAGTGGACCACTCTGCTCTTAGAATATATGGAGTTCTGCTTGATGTAGGAGCAGGACAAAAATCCCCAAGCTTTTCTTCCACACCATGATGTGTTCTTCAAATGCATATAAAGGAGGCAGAAAAAAAGCATTTAACTGAAAGTCAAATATTCTCCTGTGCCCATGGACAAGCTGTTTAGGCTGTGAAATTTTCTGACCTGCAAAAAGACACACTTTGTGGGAGAATGCAAAGCCTGGTTTGCTTGGTGCTGTACAGCTCACGAGCTGTCCAAGTAAGGAGTCTGTCTACATTTTCCAGTACTTTAGCAACAGGAAAGAGGATTGAGGGTATACAGTTTCTCTTTGTTTTAGGGAGGATTAAAAGCTGTTGTCTGGACAGATGCATTTCAAATGATTGTTATGGTGGCTGGCTTCGTGACGGTTTTGATTCGAGGAACTAGTGTGAATGGTGGATTGACCAAGGTCTGGGAAGATGCCCATGAAGGATCCCGGCTAAACATATTTGAGTAAGAAACAAGTTATGCAAACCATTCCTTTCTGTATATTTAATGTTTAGAAACCATACCCTCAGTAAGCCAAAAAATACACAGACTTGGTTTTAAATAACCTTGGTGACTCAGGAGAGCCCATTCCTCACCTCTTCATGTATTTGACCTTTAAGAAAGTTTAACTCTTTCAAGAAATCAAAGGTCTGCTGAACTGAAGGGATGATTTGCCATTTTTCCTTGTGTAGCTACAAACGCAGCCCAGTTATTCCTTCCAATTTCATACACAGAATATTCTGAGTTGGGAGGGATCCACAATAATCAACAAGTCCAGCTCGTAAGTAAATGGCTCATACAGGGACCAAACATGAAACCTTGATGCCATTAGCAGCGTGTTCTAATCAACTGAGCTAATCTCAGCAGCTAATTGTATATATCTTTATTTTTCTATTCATAAAACTGACACTACATTTTACTTGCACTCACCACAGCAGCAATCAATAGAGCACCAGTGCTCTGGGACAGAAATCTGACCTTCCTTTGGCTGTTTGGGGTATTTGTTGGTTAATCAAGGCAAGTCCATGACAGAATCCAGCAGCAAGGTCAAATGTTATCTGCTGTCCCGACCAAGATAAGGAGAACTGCAAGGATAACATATTCAAGAGAGGTTTGCTGAGTAACAGGATTTTGTTGTACAAAAGATAACACAGCAGCTGAAGCAATTTCTTGTAAAGGAAGTTACATCATAGTGATGTGTCACTAAAAGTTTACAGGATTCTTTTAGAGTTTAATAAGCAACCTTGTTCCTTACAGAAGATGGGGTCCCAGACAGGGTGGCTTGTAGGTCTGCTACAACGTGACACAGGTTTGATGTCTGAGCATGAGCATCCATATTAATTTAATTGATCTCAGTTAAGTGATCCAATGACTAGGTCAGAATGATATTTGATTATCCTGACTTGAAAACAATGTGTTCCAATATAAAAAGTAAAAGAACTCCCAAAGCTGAGCACATCAGGTGTCTGTTCTGGAAAACAGTATCACCAATGCAAAATTTCTGATTCAGATGGTAGAACATGCCAGATAGCTCTGAAAATAATCACCTACCTCTTGCTGAAAAAAATATGTTTGAATAAAAAACTAAATTGATTTTTCTTTCTTTCTTTGTTTATTTCTTCTAGCTTTGATGTTGATCCTTTAAGAAGACACACCTTCTGGACAATAGTTATTGGGGGAACATTTACATGGCTAGGGCTCTATGGAGTCAATCAGTCCACGATACAAAGATGTGTTTCCTGCAAATCAGAAAAGCATGCTAAACTGTAAGCTACCTGTCATTAACCTGTTCTTGCAATCAATCAAGAATTACACTAAGTTTGTTAGCTATACTAAATAAATATTGGGATCCCATTAGGTGGTAGCAAGCTAATTTTACTCTGACAGTCTTACTGCCTCTGTCTCAAAATTACTTAAGTATATGCAGAGGAAAAAGAAAAACCTGTCTCTTGCAGCTTATCAATTTATGATCAGGCTGATAAACTAATCCTCAGAAGGAGAGTATGGCAAAGGTGCCAACACAGAAGTTGTGCTGTCTACGAATCAATTGTAAAAATGTATCTGTTGGAGCTGTGTTTATGTTATACTGGATTAAAAGTTGTTATTGATTTGGTGGAGCACTACAGTACAAGGTATTACCTATTTAAAATTAAATCTTAACAATTTCTTAAAATTCTGCAGCATCAGAATAATCAGAATCAAAGAAGAACAAAGTGAATCTTCACAATATAAATATGCAGGTCTCCAGCTTGCTGCCTGCCTCAACTTCAGCAGTAGTATGTGCACAGCTAGACATTTTACTCAACAATCAGATTTTTTTCACACACCTAGGGCCAATTGCTTGCACTTGTGGCTAAAGAATAAAGGTGGTAATTTTTTCCTTTTTCAAACAGTTAGACTTTTTGCTGCCTGTAAACATATTGATTTTTCTGAAGGTCATGACTGTCTATATGAATTTATCCTGTAAAAAACCCAGTGTCTGAAAAACATCTAGAAGTCACACCAGTGAGAACATCACTAGTAACAAGTTGGATTAACCTTTGTTTCCTGGTAGCACACTCTGAACTTGTCTTAGCAATAGATCTTGTGCAAGGTGATGTCCAAACATGATGTGAGCTCTGATATGAAATGAAATGAAATGAAATGAAATGAAATGAAATGAAATGAAATGAAATGAAATGAAATCAAATCAAATTAAATTAGATTAAATTAAATTAAATCTGGCAGCTCTCAGAACCTGCAGGATTGCTGACCCACAGTCACACAATCTTCCTAGCAGATCCTGTCACCCACATCCATTTCATGGGATAGTGAAAACAATCAAGACTGTTACTTTTCATGGTAACACTGGAAATAATATTCTGTGTGCATTAAAGGCAGGAGAGCATCCACATCTCCCAAAAATCTGTTCAACATGTCCCAAAAATCTGAACAAGGGACAGGAATGACAGACCCAGCACTCAGTGAAGCCCATTCTGAGTAGAGGTTACTTGACTCTTCCAGCTCATTTTTTTAAATCTTGCTTTGAATTGTGCAGCCAGTTTGAATTACATAACCAGTTAGGATTAAGGGATCTCCCAAAAAAGTTCAGAATAAATATCTTGTAACAACTTTTTTATTTATTGTCCATTAAACAGTTTCTCTCTTTTGCTCTAGGGCACTTTACCTGAATTTATTGGGACTTTGGACAGTCCTAGTGTGTGCAGTATTTTGTGGATTGGTGATGTACTCTCATTACAAGAGTTGTGACCCTTGGACTGCTGCTTTCATTTCAGCTCCTGATCAGGTACAGGTGTCCATTACAATAATTAGGAGCTGCTTTGCACTCAGATATAGCACACATCAGGGCAGCCTAATTTTGGGAAATGCTCTATGTCCTTTCAGCACTCAGGGACTAAGGTGGGTGCCAGATCAGGGCTACAATAATATCTATTCTGGCACTCCTCCAGTGATAATTCAGTTCAGCATTTTTGACAAAAGACAAACCCTTTGCTCAAAATCTGAAACCATGTTACTTGGGACAACACCAGAATTTCACAACATGCTCAGAAACATAAAATACTTCTCTTCCATTACCCAGGAAACCCTTAATTAATTTCTTATATTGCTCTTGTGCTCCTTCTATCCCAGCTCATGCCATATTTTGTTATGGACATTTTTTCTTCGCTGCCAGGAGTCCCAGGACTGTTTGTTGCCTGTGCATTCAGTGGAACACTAAGGTTTGTGAATCTGAATTGACATTTTAGCTGTTTTTGATAATTTCTTGAGGATCCAGAAGGAGGGAAAAATATGAAACCCTAAGAAAAGCTCAGCTGTTTTTTCTTAGAGCATTCTAGGAATTAGCAGTAGTTCTTTATTGAATTATGTTACATCCCTGGAGGTATTTAAAGGACATGTGGATGTGGCACTTAGGGACTTGGTTAAGTGGTGGACTTGACTGTGCTGGGCAAAAAGTTGGACTCTGTGATCTTAGAGGTCTTTTCCAACCTAAATTATTCTATTATTATGTTTATGATAAAGTCTAACTCCACATCTCCAGTATCGTCCTATCCCAAATACATTTTAGAATAATATTATCAATACAGACAAAGTGTAGAAAAACTAAGTTTAATTTCCCAAAATACTCTTGTGAGCTGCTTGTGGTGATATTGTCTTTACTTAAGCTAACACAATATCATACTCAGGGGTGTGAATGTTTTCAGCAAGTCTGTCTGAACCGTATTCACCAAAGACAGGCTCACTCAGTGAGCTGGAGGAGTTGGGCCATGTGTGGAGGACCAGGGTGGCACTAGTGGTGACTGCACATCCTTCAGTTTGTAAGAGAGCTTTAATTCAGTTTGTAAGTTTTAATTCTGGAACTTGTCTGTATTTCAGGTCTTTGCAAAGTTTTAAATTGAAGGGTCATTTAGGATGTGTTTCTATCTTGTTCCATGCCAGCACAAAGCAGAGCCCCCAGCAGAAGCAGCAGAAACCTCCTCAGTTAAAGCAGCACATGTGAAAAATACTATGAGTCATACAGTCCTTGGAGAGCATTAGTGCTGAAAAAGAGCACATTTCTTCATAAATACAGATTGATTTCAGATTATATTGCCTCCTATTTACTTACCCTTCTTCTCCCTTCCTACAGCACGGTGGCTGCCAGCATCAATGCTTTAGCAACTGTTACCTTTGAAGACTTGGTCAAAAAGGGTTTCCCAAACCTCTCGGAGAAGATGAGCACGTGGATCAGCAAAGGCTTGTGTGGGTACTCCAGATGAGACCCATTTCTTTAGCAGCAAAGGGCACTGCCTAGAGAGACTCCCTCAGAAACACTTGCACTTTGGAAACCTCCACAGGAGTGTAACCCTTTATAAACCCTCAAGGTGAACATCAGCCTGATGCTTCGGTAGCATTAAGTATCAGCACCTTTATGGCAGAGAAAGAAGTGCAGACTAGCATTAACAGCCACTCCTCAAAATCCTTGGAAAAGTCTGGTCTGCTGAAAATATTGGAAAGCACTCCTCATAACACAGAAAGAATATCAATGTAGTTATTACCACATTATAGTAGTATTTATTTAGAGTAATACGGTAATTTCTATTCAAATTTAGAGTATTGCATAAGCAGGGTATTTAGCTTTTTAGAGAAAAGGTATGAAAACAAAAAAGTAAAAAAAACCCACAAAATATCTTCAACATATCAAGCATCCAACATTATTTTAATTTTTAGGATATTTGTTACAATTATTGTAGTAAGATCATAACCCTTTTATGAATACCATAATAATAACCATAATAATTTTATTAAAGTTCATAAATATCATGAAAGAGCTAAACCCATATATTTTATATCTCTGTAACTGCTTCTAGTCTTCTCTGTGTTTGTTTTTCCACTTACTACTTAGTTTTTCACTCTGGACCTAGAAGGGTAATTTTTATATCTGAAACCAAGTTGTGCTAGCACAGAAGTTTTGATTGGCTTTCCTCAAGACTTCTGCATACAGAGTTTCACCTACCATGAAGTTAAAATTAGTGTCAGGGGAAGAAAGTCATGCTGTTTTATCATTTCCCAGCTCATTTATTAGATTGTTTTAAAGGTGACACTAAAAGGCAACAGAAACATTTCTTCATGAGGCATAACTTCTAAATTAATCTCATTGCTATTGTTCTACTTTGTAAGGAATATCAATCAACCAAAAACCCAATGAGACTTCACACAAGACACCTCTGGGTGTATAATGATCTGCTCTAAACATTCAGTAAGAAGTGTAAATCTCTCCATCCTGCCTGCTCATCTCAGACATTCCTGAGCTAGAACCCATCCCCACTATTAACCAGCACTGAGAACGTTGGTACCTTATTTTTTCCAGGTATATTGTATGGTGTCCTGTGCACTTCCATGGCTGCAGCAGCATCGCTGCTGGGAGGAGTTGTGCAGGTATTTCTCTGCTTCAGGAATGCAATTAATAGAATAGGAATGAACAGAAAATGTGATGATGATGAAGTGAGCAAATAATTCTGCCAGCTCTGATGGCTGCTAGATTACCTAAAACATTTCTGTGGACATTTTGCTGAGAGGAATAAGGAGGCCAAAAAAGAAATCCCCTAACTCCTTCACTATTGACTCACTGCTAGGAAGCAATATTGATCGTGATCCTCTCTCTAACTGTGCCCTGAAATCACTACTTATCCCTTCTTTCTCACTATTTTCCCACTGAAAATTACTGGCCAAAATCAGAATTGGGCATGCTTCCCCTCAGCCACTGCCCTGAACTCCTCTCTCTTCTCTGCACCCACAGGCTTCCCTCTCCATCCACGGCATGTGTGGGGGGCCAATGCTGGGATTATTTACTCTGGGAATTGTGTTTCCCTGTGCTAACTGGAAGGTAAGGAAACAAAAATCCTGATCTAAAAGAAAATCTCTTTTTTTTTTCTTTTCTTTTTTTTTTTTTTGTTAAAACTTCATTTTGAAATTCGTTTGGGTCTCTGAGCTGCTTTTCAGATTTAGCACCTGAGGATCTATCTGTTTATACATGCCTTTTCCCTGCCTAAATTTAACCTGCTGAATCTAAGTCTACACAACTGTGGAATAATTGGTGATTAGATTCACATGAGGGTTTTCTTAATTTTGTTTGTTTGTTTGTTTCTGAGTTTCATTAAGAAGAAAAAATTATTCAATACTTGCACCAGCCTTGGGATGCACAGAGCGATTACAAAAGCTTTGCCTTCATTCTTCCACTCAAAACACGAGTTCAATTCCATATTGCCCCTTTAGGATTTCCATCAAGGTTAGCAGAACTAACACTAAAATCTGTACCACAGCTTTAATCACACTTTTGCTTCAACTTTTATAAATAGAGGGCACTAAAGCACCGTGTTTTATACCTTAGTTGAGAGAGAACAGGATTTATTTACACCGTAATCCATCATTACCTACTCCTGCCTAATTCATATTCACAGAAAAGCACTTTCCACATATCATCTTTAACAGTATCTTTCTCTACTTGCCCAGGGTGCTCTCGGAGGCCTCTTAGCTGGGATCAGCTTGGCTTTTTGGGCTGGCACTGGCTCTTTCATTTACCCTGCGCCACCAGTGAAGTCCATCCCTCTGCAGCTGTCTACCCTCAACTGCACTCTGGCCAACAGCACCGAGGTGCTGCTGACTGCAGCTGCTCCCACACTGGCTCCAGAGAGGTAATTTTCCTGCTGTTACCACTTAAACCTGTGTTTTGCTGTGTGCCAGCCCAGCCTGCAGCAGGCAGTAACCACAGGGCAGGCTGGGAGGGCAGACTGATGCCAGGTGACAGCCTGAGCTGCATTTTGCTGGCACATTCAGGCAAGAACTCATCACCAGCTGCTTTTGTCACCTCTTCACAGGCCTTTGCTGGCAGACACCTGGTACTCCCTGTCCTACCTGTACTTCAGTGCCATTGGCTGTGTGGGCTGTGCCATCACAGGCTTGTTGATCAGCTTTATAACAGGTTGGTGTCCTAAACATACATAGCCATAAATATAAATAAATATGCTTTTGCATAAGCTGTCTCTGCTGTTAAAAAAGCTCTTAAAAAGCTTGACTTGAGACAGATTCAGAAGAGGAGAGTGGGCTCTGATCCTGCTCCCCCACCTCATGGTCTGAGGTTCCCAGTACTCACACCCAGCTATCCATACACTCACATGTTATTATTTTCTTTTTGCAGGACCTAGTAGAGGAGAAGACATCCCACCAGTGTTAATTAAGCCGGTTTGCAACCTGTTTTGCTTTTGGTCCAAGAGACTCAGAGTATTCCTGTGGTGTGGAGTGCAGCACGACAGCCTGGAGGTGAGTACCTGAGGGCATCAGCTCACCAGGAGCAGCTGCATGTGCTGAGCACAGGAATAACCAGCTTTCAAAGCTGCTTTGAATTTGTGCAAGGGATGCTGCACAAGCACCACAGGCTGGAAATGAGATCAGCCAGACCTTGCTCAGTAATGAGTTACCTATTTTTCCTGTTTTCATCAAATATGGGGACTCGGGCTCTCCAAAAACAAACAGCCCTCAGGAAAGCCAGGAGCTCATGAAACAGGGTCTGACCTCCCTCTCCCTGCCCTCCTCCCTTGCAGACAAAACTGCACTTCACACAGCTCACCAAGCTACTGCCTTCCACCAAAAAAGACTTCAGAACTCGTTTGCTCATGAAGCTCTCTTGCTGCTGCCATCCCCATCAAAGCCTCTGCTCTCCAGATCAACTCCAGTCAGAGTTGAATTTTAAAGATCTGGCTCATGTTTCAGATATTTTAAAGACAGAGTAGGTCCAATAAAATTTAAAGATATAGCACAGCTGTATTTTAGCTCACAATAAAACTTTTGCCCTCACTTCTCAGGCTTGCTGATAAACATGAAAACCAACAAATTTTCAAGTAAAGATAAGTAAGAGTAATCTCACAATCTCACCAGCATCTGAGCTGCTCCTTTCCACCTCCACCTCCTCCACAGCAACAGGGCCAGCTATTCTCCAGGTGTCCCAAGGCTTTGTAGCTCATTAAAAAGGCATACAGAATAAACATCTTTCTTCTTGCACTGTTTTAATAGTTTTCCTTAATAATATTTTATTTCCTAATAGTTTAATCAAAGGAAAAAATACAGTGAATACAGGCTTTAAACTACAAGGGTGTTTTCTTTCTTTTCTTCAGATGGACTTGGAGAAAAAACTGCCTAAAGTTGCTGCAAACAAAACCAGAACAGATAACACCTTCAAAAATAATACCAACAGAGAAAATAATCACCGGATCCATGGTTACAAATCTGAGGAAAATCCATATACAAATATAAGCAGAGAATCTCGCCTCTAGAAGCTGAGGGACAAGGGACATTTAATCAAACTTTAGTTCTTCAGAAATTAATAACTTCTTTTACTGCATTTACCAGCTTGTAGGTGATCAAGAGGGAGCAATTGCTCCCTATAGCAATAAAGGACAGATTTTTATTTACGAATTTCTTGGCAATTTCTTGGGTAATGATCAGACAATGGGGTTGTGGAAGCACTGCTGTTTTAGAAGGAATGTTTCATGGATTTTGTTGTGGAAGCTCCCACCCAGACTTGCAGCTGCATTACATCTGCATCACACACTCTATTCAGCAACTCATATTGAAGGGAATGTGCAAAGGTGAGCTTGAGATAAATTAAGACTTTGGAGAAGTTTGTGAGATATCTCACTAAGGTGAGTCTGTGAGCTGCCCTGTGATGGAGAGGAGAGGTCAGGTTGAGCCTACACCCAGGTATCACAAAAAGTCTCCTCACAGGAACCTTGTATAGACCAGACTGGTCTCTCAGTCACCAAGATAACTGTGCTTGCTTTGGGGAATTCAAGTTTTCTTCTCATTGTAAAAGCTATAGGAGAGAGTAACAATTTGTACTTTGAATTCAGGATAGTTCTTTATCTGTGTTAGTTTTCACCTCAAAAGGATCCCCTTTTATGCAATAAAGAAGATAAACCAGTATTTAATGATGCTCATGCCTCCTAATTGAGAATTCATGCTGATTTTTGAAAAAAAAGATACATAATTAAGTAAAATAATCTGTCTGGTACAATGTCATGGAAGCAGAACACTCAGTGCTCTCTTTCAGTGAAACACATTTGTTCCAAAATTTGCTGGTTGTAAATAAAAGTCAACAGATCACCTCTCACCTTGATAAACTTTTGGATATAGTTTTTCAATAAATATATTTGTTTTTAAACAAAATTCACAACTGAATGAAACACAGAATGAGAAGATCAATGATGACTCATGGACTCAGCTGATACATTTAGCTTGTTTTTCTCTGAAGAGCCCCACTGTTGCTTTTGCTTTCTCAGTGACCATCTTCATGATGTAGGTGTATGTCAATCTGGTCCTTGAAGTTAATTCCCCTCTCTCTGTTCATGCCCTACCCCTTGGAACTGGTCCCAGGATTTTAATTAGAGAACAGAAATAGCAGTCTGGAAATGACACTCCCTTGCTTGCATGGAACAGTTTGTCAAGAAACTGAGAACCAAGTCAATATTTGTGTTAATCCCTTTTACACTGATTTTATAATCTCATTAAAGCTTCTAGCTGAGTCTGGTTAGCTGTTTGCTGTCTCATGTGGCATGCTTTCCCTTTCTGATTCCATACTTGGGATGGTTAGCAAGGCAAAGAAGGAAACTCAGTAAAAATTACTGTATCATTTATATCTCAAGGTTCTATTAAGAAAGTCTAACTACCCTGCCTAAGGATGTAAAATAATTCCTGAGTAAAAGTGGTTCAAAACACACATATGAAGCTATACAGTTAGAGGGAGGATGATAAAACCCTCTCTAGTCATAGCTGGAGCATATCTGATTGAGAGATTTATAACTCTGAAGACAATCAGGTTTCATCTGAGTATTTCTTAAAAAGCAGCATCATGATTCTCTGCACGTGTTTCACAAGTCTGGCAGCACTGGATGCACTACAGACTTACCACAAGTCATCTGCCACAGAAGAGAATCTCAATTTATCCATTTGATGTCAGGAAAAAGTGAGTTAGGTTTGCTAGAATTGCATTCTCTCCAAATGCTATTGGAATATTGGAATTCAGGAATATCCTGAAGGATTTTTCTTCAAGTATTGCCAGACTGGTTTTATTACAACTAAAGCTACACTTTGAGCTCAAGTTTTTTCTGTATTTTTAGTGGAGTCAGCCAAAGGGTTATTTCCAATTCCAACAGGGGGATGATACATGACAACATATGATGGCTAAAATCCATAATTCATTATTCAGCCTTCTAGCAAGATTTAAGGATAAGTTCTAGCAAAACTGGAACTCAGAGAAATTTCCATTCTTTTTAAATTAGTTAATTAACCTGTTAGTTAATCTGTTTAGTTATCTTCTCATTTCCTCTACATGCTGAGCCATTGATCTTTCCAGAGGCAGATCTAGCATGTCCACTTGGGGTGAAAAATTGAGATTATGAAACTAGGAACAGATAAATCCTAGAAGAGCTTAAATATAAGAAATTGTTAGTCACTAGTGAAAGCAGTACAACATAAATGACTGAAAATTTGAAAACTCAGTCTAGCTGTGCCTTGAGGCCAAAATAATTGAATATTTAATTGTTAAAAATGCCTGAGTGAACCATGACCCTGAAATTACTTTCTTACAAGACTATGATTTGAATGCTCATGAGCACTCCCTTTTCAAGTATACAGTTGCTTTTAATTATCTCTGAATATTTGGAATAATAAAGCTCACAGCCTTTTTCAAAGATATCAAAGTTTATTACTGAAAAAAAAAAAAAGTAATAATCAAATGTGCATGATACAGCAAGTAGTTGCATTTGTATATGTAAACCTTAATAAAGTAAATAGCATCCCAAACACAAATTTATGCCAAAAGTGTCTTACAATAGTTAATCAGATTTACAACTTTTTCCTCAGTGACTTATTTTACTTCTGGGGTACATAGCTGCTTGTAAAAGCAATCTTAAAACACAAAAGAAACTGAAAGCTAACATGCTGGAGGAACTTACAGCTTTTGCACAGAAAAGTAGATTTCTCCAAAACGCTCTCTGATACTGTAAACTTGTTTTAAATATTACTTACAAAGTGTAGATTCATGAGTAGAAAAAATAGCTGAAATTTTATTCTTACTCCTTACTTAGAAATCAAGCTGTATTTAAACATTACATAAATTTCAAATATATACACATTTTAAGAAATCTCTTATGATCAGGATATTGCAAGTTAGCCAGGACTATCAGAGTAAAAAAATGACTGAACCATCTTATTCAGCTAGATTTTACATGAGATTATTTCAAACAACCAAAATTTCAGTGATACTACTCTAGGTAAAAATTAGAGCCAACAGTTTGGAAGATTTTTCAATACAAAACTCCGAGTCATTTAAATAGAACATGAAAATAAAATGTGATCTGATTTTTTTTTTCGTTATTAACAGAAAAATCATCGTGTTCTCAGTGGTTAAAATCTCACTAGCTTTAGACTCCATTTTGGTTTAATCCTAATTTTTTACCCTGTTGCATCCTAACAAGTAGCTCATGTCAGTAAGAATGCAAACTACAGAGAACAACGAGCAATACAGAGGTTGAATCGAGAAGATAGAATGAGCCAACAGAACTAACACAAGGTCATCTCAGGTGCAGTGAAGAGGGATTTCACCATCAACATTTTGAGACTAAATCCCAGCCCTGGATTTAAAAAGCTCCTGTGTACCATGGCATAGTGATTTCCCTACTGCTCCACTAGAACTTTGTGCTGTTGTGGTAACACTGTGCTGTCACGGTTACGCCAAGGTTATTAGAAATCCAAATTTCTAGTAAATGTGCTTGCAATGGCAATATCAGACAAAAATTGTCAAAACCAATCCATTCTAGAAATCTAAAAATTATACAACTGTGTGGGGTATTTAGGATGTATGTGCATGTGGAGGAAGGGACACAAGGAGAAAAAGCTGTGGTGCTTGGGGAGGTGGCTGGAAGGACAGAAATGGCACAGGTAGTGGTGCCCCACACTGTCTCACACTGAGTATGCAATCAGGGCACACTGATTTGTAAAAAGCACCAGACAGACTAATATTTGTGCACTTTCTGCTTTGGCATCTCAGCAAGGGACATCCAAAAACAACCTGTAAAAAAAATCTGCTGTTACCGAATTGGTAATAAAACACTGAGGATAAGTAAAGAATGAGCCAAAAGAGGAGAAAAAAAAGATCAGGAGGCCTGTCCCCATGCTTCATCCTCAAACCCTTATTTTTCAGAGCCTGCTGCAATTCTGGAGCAAAACTTTCTAGAGTGAACATGAGCCCTTTGCTGCCTTCTGCTCATTCTCACTCTCCATACGTTGGCTGCTGAATTTTACCTCAGAACAATGTGGGTTTTGTGAGCATGAGGTTGAGCAAGAAAAGATTTAGGGAATTTTTTAAGTTACTAGATTTTCCACTACAGGCATATAGGTTAGAATTCACTTAAACACTTTCAAAAAGTGTCACTATATGCATTTGAGCCAGACAAAGCATGCACTGGAACAAAATAACAGGTCTGCCTAGAAATGAACTTCTGTTTGAATTCTAGAATCAATCTTAACATCAAATCATTATTATGAAATGCTGCCCTTACATTTGTTTCAAACTTTGTCCCCAAATAAGCAACATCAGCACTTAATGAGGATTCAAAAAAATAAAATGCTTCTGGAAGTACTACTGCATTGTAAGTGATTACTGATACCACTGTTTTTATCTCTGTCCATTTTCTTAATAAAAATAGAAACTAAATAGAAAATGTGATAAAAAAAAAATTCCACTAACTTTATCACATTCATAAGTAGCTGTTTGTATAAAATTAATTTTACTGATAAGGCTATTGCCCAGTATATATAAAAATTCTAGTTTTAGTAAGTTTTAATGAAAATTAGTGACTTTTACAGGCTAACTATGCTAATTTGCCTCCAAACAAACTGTGACATAATGCAAAAGTTTGCTAAGACTTGGCAGGTAACTCCAGTGGATTCCCTGGCTCCAGAAATTCCCTCTGGCAACACTCCCAGCTGGAGTGTGCAGTGGAGGAAGCCAAAGCAAGGAAAGAGCAGATGTGCATTACTCATACGATTAAACTGATCATCTTAATGGCACATTAAGAATAAAACATCACCCAGACTGTTGCCTTTCCCCATATTAATACTCTCCCTGAAGCTGTATTTCCCAAGGTATTTTTCCTTCTGTAGAACTTTTTATGAAGGAAAGTTCTGGAAATTAAGGTATTTATCTACTAACTTATTTTTACTAGTCTGTCTAGACATTTTCCATTTGAGCTTTCCACAGGACACAATTGAGCCTAACTGTGCCTCAGAACACAATTTATGGCTAGTTGTTGGAAAAGCACAGCTACAGCTGATGTGTATTTCATACTAGTGAAGATATGTACTTCCAAAGAAACATCTAACAAAAACAAAAGCTCACTTATCATCCATCATCACTATTGAAATTTTAGCCCTGACACTATTTTCTCTATAAATCCTTTCATGAAAAAGGTTAGGAAAGAGATGAATTGTTAATGTTGCAAAATATCTCCAAAATGATCAGGTCCAATCTTTGACCAAATATCACCATAACAAATAAATCACAACACTAAGTGCCATGTCCTGTCATTTCTTGAACACTTCCAAGGATGATGACTCCACCACCTCCCAGGGCAGCCTGTTCCAATGCTTTCAATGAAAAAATTCTTCCCCATGTCCAACCTGAACCTTGCTGTGTGCAGCCTGAGGTTGTGTTCCCTTGTCACTGTTTTCCTGCTAGAAGAGGCTGATTCCCCCCTTGCTACAATCTCTTTTCAGGTGGCTGTGGAGAGTGATGACTCCTCTGAACATCCTCATCTAAACTAAACCACAGCTTCTTCAGCCACTCCTCCTATGAATTAATCTCTCTAGATCCCTTAACAGCTTCACTGTCCTTCCCTGGACAAGCTCCAGCACCTCAGTGTCTGCCTGGAACTGAGGAGGCCAGAATGGGACACAGTCTCAACACGTGGCCTCATCAGTGCTAGGACAATCACTTCCCTGGTCCTGCTGGCCACACTGTTTGTGACACAGGACAGGATGCTGTGAGCTTTTCTGTCCACCTGGGCAGATGCTGGCTCATGTTCAGCTGCTCTTGACCAGCACCCCTAGGTCCTTTCCACTCTGCCCCCAGCCTGTGGCTTTGCAGTGGATTATTGTGATCCAGGGACAAAGACTTGGTACTTGGCCCATTGATCCAGCCTGTTCATATTTCTCTGCAGAGCTTTCCTGCCCTCCAACAGATCCAACAATGCCACACAACTTAGCTTAGCATGTTCTGCAAACTCACTGAGGATGCCCTCGATCCCCTTGCTCAGATCACTGATAAAGACATTAAACAGAAGTGGCCTCAATCCTGAGCCTTGGGGCACCACGCTCCTGACCTGGAGAAACAGCCCTCACTGCCACCCTCTGGGCATGGCCATCCAGCTTTAATTAGCTTTAATCCAGCTAAGAGCACACCTGCAGCCACCCTCTCCAGGAGAATGCCATGGGTGACAGCTTCAGAGGCGTCACTGAACTCATCATGAGGTTGGCCTTGTTTCCAAATCTCTGCTGAAGGGCGCTCAATCAGCGTGCTGTGGGACCTGAGCTCAATGCTCAGGCAAGCCTTAGCACTCAGCTGTGAGCACTCTTAATGCCTCCCTCTTTGTAGAGACAAACTTCAGGGAACCTCTCATTAGGATGGCCAATAAAACAGAATTCTTATTTTCCTTCTTTTATTCACCAAAATTCAGATCTCACACAGTAGGCACAAATTTAGAATAAAATGTCATAAGAAATTAGGTGTTTAGCATGTATCTGGACTTTGTGCCATCTCTGAAATGGAAATTTCTTTTGTCTGAATCAAGATGCAGAATTTTTTTAAGAATAATTAACACATTTTGAACAAATACTTTATATATAAAAAAATCCAGTTGCTCATGCAGTCTCTGTAAGGGCGCATGCATAGAGCAAAGTTTTCATAGATTAGATCTGCAATGATCCAAAGCATTTTTGCACAAATTGAGGTTCTAAAGCTTTGTCAAATTCCACAAATGCAGCCTGCATGCACAGTCTAGTCATACGAGTCATTTTTTTGAAAAGACAATATTTAGAATATGAAAAGATCATTCACCATTCAAAAAATACATTATTCCTGAGGACAGTGTGTGCATTATTCTTTAGGAAAATAATGTGCAGTCCATGAAAACAGCATAAGCAAAGTCGAGCAAAAAGGTTTCTCAGCTTAAGCAAATGGCAAGACAGTGGCAAGACCTTTACACATTGTTGATGTCCTCCAAAAGTAAAGGACACACAGAGTGTTTTTCCAAATTTCTTGTGCTTTTCCAGTGCATAAAATGCACCATTTCAGATCTACACACTTGCCTCTCATATACTCCTATATTCCAGTGTTGAAAAAAAATCATAATATATAAATATATGTAAATCTCAAATCAGAAAAAAAAAATTCAATGTGGTTTTTCAAGTCCAATTGGAACTTGCCTAGGTATGTACTGACACATGCCAATGTCAATAGCAGAAACAAAAAAGTATAAAATAATATTTTCAATTTTTGCCTGATTTTTACCCTGTATATGACTTCATAACTTTATAACTTGGGCCAGCCAAGGCATTTTGTTTTTAGAGAAAATATTAAAAAGAGCTCATCTGTGACCTTCTGAAGCATTGAAATATTATCACTAGGTGGCACAGAAACAAAAACTGTGACACAGGGTTAATTCTGTTAAACAGTGCTTGACAATCCACAGAAGGAGACAGAGAGACAATAAATTAAATAAAATGTTGTGATTCTACTCACTCTGAGGAGAGTGCAGTAATTTTTTTTTTCTGATATTGACTCTTGAGGAACTTAATGCACAACCCAGAATATGAAGGAACAAATGAAGGAACAGAACAGCCTTTCCAAAATATGGCAAGCTGAGTTCCATCAATCCTTTATCACAGAATGTATGGGTAATGTATCTGATTAAACCAGATCTTCAAATTTATTTCCTCCTTTCATGAAGTACGACAGAGTCCTGTAAGTGCCTTGTCTGGTAACAGAGCTGAAATTAACCCAGAAATCTCATTAATGTGGTGAAACAACTGAAGAAATTAAAAGTCTGATGTTAGCTCTCTGGATACAATCCAGATCCTATTTACCCACTTTGATGGGCTCTTGAAATTAATTTCAGTGAAACAAAATAAAATTATTGTGCTAATAAATGCAAATGAGTACTGGAATCACACTTTTTAATTCAACAGGGTAATGTAAATAAGTGAAAATTCTGGTCTTGCCATATCTGTCAGCAGTGATTTTGCTGTAGCTTTATCCCTAAAAATAATGTCAAAATTTGTAGATTTTGTGGTTACTGTGCTTTGCTGACTCTGTTTTTCAGATTTTTCTCATCCCATATAGAGAAGCATTATTTAAAATTGTACAAGAGAAACAGAACAACTGTAACTCTGTTTATCCATTCCCTTCCCTGCAAGGTATCCCTTCAAACTTGTTTAAACATTAAGTACTTCTCCTGTATTATGAAATGTTAGTGACAGACAATTTCATCACCAGAATGTAACTATTAAGCACAAGCAACACTGCAGTATGCTGTTTGCACATAAAAACTGAAATTTGATTCTTCAATGAACATCTACTTTTTTAGTGATTTTATCGAAAAAATCCCCCCCAAAGTGTAAGAAGGCATACTAATAATAATAATAATAATAATAATAATAATAATAATAATAATAATAAATCATCTAAGAGTAACCACAATGTGTGTATGCATTTATATACAATCTGTATACATATTTGCCTGTATCCAGCTCCAATGTTATGACATATTTAGGCCAATAAAAGTGTACATTACTGCAACATTTACTATTAGAATAAGAAGAACGTTGTTACACTTTGCTCTTCTCCTTCCCTGAACAAGCAAGCCACATGTTATACTGCATATCTCATATATATCTGCAGAAGCTTGCATACTATAAAGATATAATTGTATTTTGAAGAGAAAGTCATTTGCACTGCATGGGAGTATTTCAAGTTAGCATTCTGTGAAGTCATGGAATCACTGCCCAGACTGATCAAGAGGAACAGGAACACAGTTAGCATGGAAATGACAGCTCTTTCACCCTGGAAACGTGTGGAGATGGCCTTTCCACACACAAAAGTGGAAAGACAACTCAACAGCTGTGTAATTTTCAAACAGAAAATTACATTCTCCTAGAACTGCTGTTTTCTCTCGGAATTTGGACTTTTTGGTTTTCAACTAGATGGATAAATTAATGACACTGATGTGCAAATCTTAAACTGCATAGTATATATTTAGCAGCCACAGACCCCTTTTTTAGGGTAGGACCACATCCACAATCTCAACAAGAGACTAGGACAAACCTGACAAAACAGTAAGCCTGAAAGATCAAGTCATGGCCACAAAGGCAACAACTGCTCTGTTCTTTAGAGGCATTACAGATGGAGCTGAGCAATCAGAAGCTGTACAAGTAGTCAATATCACATAACTTGGTTTTAGCCATGCCCTTATTCTATATGTTCACAGGTAATTTGCTGTTTTCATCACACTGATAGTATCTTCATAAACAGCATGAAAATCCATTGCCTTTTTTTAAAACAGTGTCCAGATTTTTAATCTGTCTGCACATTTCTGAATGCCAATTGTCATTGGAGCTCACAATAGACCAGCTAGAGGTAAGGCTTTTTATTGTCATCATTGCAAACATCTATTTTCCAGTGCCCACTGAAGTATACAACTGTACAGCCTAGCAAGAACATATATACACCACCACCAAATCTCACACAGATGCCAGACTGACTTCATTTTGTAACTTCACTCTCCAATTTCAAAGTGTTTTTGTTGTATGGTGGTGACTAAGGCCATTCGTGGTGATACTGTTTCCCATTCTTTTTCCTTTCTCTTTGCAAATGTTCCAGTTCAGCCTCATACATCATTTCCTGGACTAAGTATTTCTCTCTTCTCATTCTGTCACACAAGTCTTTGGGTATGTCTGGAATTAGGTAGGCAATGAAGGACTTTATTCCAAAAACAAGGTGCTGAAAAGAAAAACAAAAACAAATGCTTAATATATCAATAAGTATTCCTTTGTAGGTCTACACTTTAGAGCCTAAAAGTCTGTGGCAAAACTGGAACTGAGATTCAATTAGTGACTGAAAAGCTCCTTTGTTTTTTTTAAATAAAAACACTCATATGGGAGTAAATGAATGATCTAAAAGAAATGGGCAAATGTTGAAGTTTTTCAAAAATTAAAGGGTAGAGTTAGTGACTTAAATGAAGATGTGACTACAGGATTTGCTAGTTTGCTCACCAAATTCAAATGCTACCTACAAGCAGTTTTTGTTCAGGGCTTATAATGGAAATAGGTAATCAGATTCCTGGGTAGCATGCAGTATGTTCTCCAAACTTAGTACATATTTTTCTACTTTTATATTTGTTTAGGATTATGTATCATTTTCCTGAAACAGATTCTCTATCTTGTAATAACTGTGCCTAGTATACACAAAACTTGCATTTCTTCTTTTTCAATAAAATAGGAAAGATTGGGCAGGGAACCAACATGATGTATGACTGTTAAGGAAATATGATTTTAGAGGAGCTCTACAGTAAGTGCATGCTCTGTCAATTCAGTTTGAAGCAGCTGATAGACAACAGTTTGGGGAAGACTTCTTTTTCCTCTCTCTTGACTGTAATGAACAAACAATTGATTAAAAAGACAATTTACTACTGTAAAGTATCAACTCAAGACTTCCAAGAAGTAGAAAGGACTTGTTCCCTCCCACAACTAACCTCAAATACTATTATGAAGGCCAGCCTTGCTGCCAGGACATGCCAAAACTGCAAAGTGAATTCATATGGAGTTGAACTCCACGGTGGGGCTCTGTAGTCTCTGTACCTGCAAAGCAAAGAGAAACCCAGTAAATTACCCTGCTCAAAATCCTAGACGTGGTCAAGTGGTCTCTAGCTCATCCCAGATCTGGCTAAAAGGAGAGAAATTGCAGTGAAAGCAGACTTCAAGAGGTATTAAACAGAAAGGGAGAGTAACTGTCCAGAATACAGGCTATTAAATAAATTTGTTTATTAAACAGTACTTTCTGCTTCCAAAATTCCAGAGCAAACAGTTCCTTTTACTGTTACAAAGCTGGAGTGTTAAGTGTGTTGATTCTAAATTGGTTCTTGTCTTTGCTCATAAGCATTTGATATTCTCCAGACAAAGTCTGCATAAATTAAATATGATTCTAATTTAAGTTCTAATTAACTCACTGCAAAACTGCAGAAGTCTGAAAACAGAAGTGCACTCATGTCGTATTTCATTTTTATGCTGTATTTCTTGTATTCATCTTGTATAACTCTTTGCAATCTCAACCTGGGTTAGTGAGGTAACAAAAATTTTGTGTATTTTAATTAATTGACTTCAGAATGCTTAACAAAATCGAAATGAGAATTTTTACCCTTCTTGACAGCTGGTAAAACTTTAAATAACTCATAGAGACATGAAAGATACTTGCTTGCATGAGTCCTGCAAAAACTTCAAACCCAGATTTCCAATATGTTAGTAGTGTATCCTACCACACACTCTTTTCACCTGAGGCTTCCATGTGGAACAAACATGAACTCCAACACTTTTACAGGCAAAAAAGAAATGCCAGCAATTTCAGCACTTTTAATTTACTGTCTGCATTATTTTAATTTACTGTCTGCATTAATATCCATGCCTGTATTACAATAAGTGATTGAAACATACCTACAGTATCCTGAGTACCCCATCCCGAGTTCACTCAAATCAAATACTGATAAACTGCTGTTGACATATCCTTTTAAGCATCTGAAAGAAAAAGCCACATGGGCAGCACTTTCTTCATAAATTGGTTATATAATAAACATCCTGCATGTAAACATATTCTGCTATCAGATACTGTGAGCATAATACTTTATTTGCTTATCAGGACAAAAGCAATTCTAAAGTTTCATGCTGAGAATTAAAGTTTATTGGAAAACAAAGATTAACATCTGTTTCAGGTGTAGTGCTGCCTAAAAGTCTATTTGCAGCACTTCTTATGGTTCTGCTTCTTATCTACTGGGAGATATAAACCAAAAATAGCTGCTACAGTGTTTTTAGCTGTTTCCTAAAATGACTGAACTTGGAAAGATGGATAGAAATCCAGAGCAGAATAATTTAACATCTCTGCAGAATCAGCCACCAATAATGCAGCATAAAGAAAAAAAAAACAAGTTTTGTGTGTTTTCACCAACAGTAAAATTATATATACCAAGCAGTTTTATTAAAGACAAAAAAATATTACTATAAATTACAGAAGTCATGTAAATATATTGATTTATGACTGTAGGAGTGAATTTTTGCTGTTGCTTGAAAACCACAGACATGTAAAGCATCCTATCTTCTTTGAAACATGTCTTGTAACTTAACTAAAGCACATTTGAAAAATAAAGAAGATTTAAGAAGAGGTGCATGAGAAAACCTTTTATAATCTGTATCTTCAGGTTTGCTGTAATACCTCAAATCATTTCTGGCAAAAGAAGAAATAGAATTACATAGTTCTCTCTTAAATGGGTAGTGTGCATTAAGCACTAATATTTTTCCAATACTGTCTCTTTTCATCCTATCCCACCTCATTATTTTTGTCCATAAATTCTCTTTTCCTGTGACAGCTCAGGAAGAGTAAATCTCTGTTTTTGGGAGCATATAAGTGTGTTTGAGAATGTACTGGGAGAAAACAGTATAGACCTAGTGCAGAAAAGAAGAAAAGCTTATCTAGAAAAGATCTAGAGACCATTGCAATGTACAAACTTTTTTGTTTGCATTCAGAAGGGAAGACATGATTTTCCATGCTTCCATTGAAAAATACATGTATATATAAAGAATATCCTAATTACTTTTCTTGTCTGTACCCTTGATCTGTGCAGGGACCATATTTGTATGCATAGACAAAACGTGGAATGTAATCAGAAGTAATGGCAATAACAAAGGCATTGGTGATGACAGCCAAAACACCGATTCCTTCCAGAATTCCATACCAAATACCTAGAAACAAGAGAAATTTCAACAAAGCAGTCAGTTTTTTATAGTCACATTAAGGCATATAAAGTCATACTAGTGATAATAAAGTCATTATTAGTCATACAGCTTTCCTTTCTTATTGAGAATGAGTTATGAGACAGAAAAATTAGTCAAGATTAAGCCATGTCCCCACACTCCAGCCACCACCCACACCACCCAAATGAAATCTTACAGCAGGGCACAACCTGCTGAGAAGATACAGCTAACCAACAAAGGCATAACCATAGTTTTTTGTTATAAGGATACAATTAAAATCTCCAAATAGGAGATTCTGGAAATAGATTTCTTATTTAGCTCAATTTTAAATTAAAAGTTAACTCAGTCCTTTTATTTAATTTCTAAATTCAATTGATTTTACACCTAGAGTTTCACAAATCAGAAGCCTGAAATACTTTTTGCCTGTTTTCAATATTCAAACTATTATGATTCCTTATTGTAAATGGGAAACAAACTTGAGGAATCCCCTAAGCAAAGCAACTATCCTTTTGTAGCCTAAAAATAAAGTTGTCACTGAAATCTGATGGTCATGTTACCATCTTGACACATTAGATACTTCAGGGGTTAAGGTGTTTTCAAGAGGAAAATAAAAGATGAAAGAAATAAAAAAAGATAAAATACAAAGAGATGATTCCTGGCAGCGACAGCCACCAGGTTCTCTCACCTATATCTGTTGCTCTTGCAGGCATAGGTCTTCGCCACTGAGTGACAAACTTGTATGCATCTAACCTGATTTCTATGATATTGTTCAGCAGTGCCAGGAGAGGTGCCAGTGGGAAGGCAGCAACAAAGATGGTGGTGAAGCCAAACTGTAAAACTAGACAGGCATTTCTATGGTTAGAAATTGTAAATTCCAAAAAATTCTCTTAACACGCAACATAGTTCTGTTTTCTGAAGAAAACCAACACCTCCCAAATTTGCTCACCCATCTCTAAATATTCATCCATTAAACCATGGAGATTCATAGGTTGCAGATTCCAATCTTTTTCCCACTGAGGTAGAGAAATTTTATTCTCCATTGATTGCCCTCTTCTCTTCATTTTGCGTCGTGACCACCAATTCTGTAATAAACTTTATTGGATAAAGAGAGTATTAATGAAAGTATCTGCTCAGATAATTAAAATATGTTCTGATACTCTTTTAAAATAAGTGGGCCTATTTTTAACAGCACCTGGATGATTACTTAGGTATTTTATGGAAAATTTTACAATATCATCTCAGATACAATGCAAAGAACTTAAAAAAGATCTCAAAATTCTGCATTATAATTTTCATTATATCTTTAATGAAGCATGTTTGGCATTGTACAAATAAGCTTTTTAGAATATGCAACTTGCTTGAACAGACTTTTTTTTTTTTTTTTGGTAGGATTTATCTGGATGACTAAATAATTTTTTAAAAAAATAACCACCAAGAAAAAGAAATCACACATAGCAAGAGCACTCAAAAGTAAATGTTTTATCTTCAATCCTGTAAAAGGCAAACCAAGTTAGTAGAACTCAGTAAGAACGCCATACTAAAATACACTGAAGAGAAGAATACATATATTTTTGAATAAACCTAAAGATTTAGATAGCCTACAGAATATTCATTTTCTTAAAGCAGGAAAAAGCATTTAAAAAGGTGTTGCTCAATGCTAAAGGTGGAAATATTTAAGACTATTCTTCATAAAGCTGTGCAGAGATCTTTTCACAAAGTACCTATAAATATTAAGGAGATAGTAGGCTCATGAATTAAACTGTTATTGAAATTAAAGATATTATCCAGTACTGAGACATGAACCAACTAAAGGCTACTATTTATATCTAGATATTATGGAAAAGAGACTAAAGGTGGGAAATAACTTTCTTGTAAGTATTTTTAAAAGAAGGCTTCTCTTTTTTCTCAAGCTAATTTAGTGTTTGGCTCTTGATCTCTCTTGTTACTGAAAGACAAACTGTTGCCTATGTTGCAAACAATGGTTTTGTACAAACAAAACATTTCTTTCCATAACAGAATATAAACATATTCTAAAATAAATTTTAGACAAAGTTAACATCCTGCTTGGCTGAGAAGACAGGAAGCCTGGCAGTTCAAGTGGGCTTCTCAATTTCAAAAATCCTCATTCCACAATATACAGTACATGGTCCCTCATTTGCAGAACAATTGGAATTGCATGTTGTGAGCAAAATCCTTTCTAACATATTTGATAATTGGGACTTCAATTAGAAGTTACTTTTTCAAGGTAGAGACTTCAATGATCAATATTTTACTGGAAATACATTCTTCCCGTTCCAAGAGAAGACTTTTAGCTCATTAGGCATTTCAGAGGCTGAACATCTCTGTATTATGCAAAATGAAATTGTAATAAACAATTTGGATGTTTAACATATCCTGAGAAGCTTTATCTTAAAGCAGAAGTTAATGCTTTCCTTGGGAATAAAGTGACAATATGTGAGGTGCAATGAGTGAAAACATCCTCCTAACATACAACCATTTCTCCTTGACACTGAATCATGCTAACATGGATTTACTGTTTTTAAAATGAACTTTAACATCTGAACTTACGGATAGCCAAGTTCCATGAAGTTGTTCCACATTTGTTTTAAAACCATAATAACTCCCATTTGTAAGCACAGATCTATCAAGCAGCCACTAGGATGACACTGAAATGAAGTGAAAGAGATCAGTAACTAAAATCAGAGAATTCCTTTATTTTCATTTGTTCAGAGTGGAAATAAAAAATATTAAGTATGTGTGGTGAAAAATACTAATCTCCATCTGCAGAAATATTAAAAGAAATGTTAATAAAATATATATTAACAGACCTTTAGACATATTGTTAGATATTAGATCATATTGCCTAATATAAAGATTTGTGTGCCAGATATATGATAAATGATATAGACCATTTCACTTAGGCCAGTAAGTACTTACTCATTTCATAAAAATGGAGCAATATTTCATTTGCAATAATCTAAGTCTAAAGAGAGATTTACTAGCAAAATTTCTGGTACTGATAAGTTATATATATACATAAACTGCCATATTAAAATGTTAAGTAATTACAGAACCATTTTTTTCAATTAATGGACTACAAAGTTATGATATTTTACTCTGTGGCTACCAAGTTTCAGTAGAAGAAATCTGTTTTTCAGAGAAAAGAGAAAACTTCAGCATACTGGTGGGTTGCAATTCTAACATTCAAGTTAAATTCTGAAAATACTCTTTTTCTTCTTTTAGAATTCTATAGAATTCTAGATTAGTTTGGGCTGGAAAGGACCCCTTAAGATGACCTAGTCCTGCAATAAATACTGCCATTTTCAATTAGATGAGTGCCATCAAACCTGACTTTGAATGTTTCCAGGGATAAGACATCCATCACCTCTCTAGGTAACCTGTCCCAAAAAAAAAACACCCCAAAAACTCTTCCTAAACCTGCTCTAAATCTAGCCTCTCTAAGTTTAAAATAATTAACCCTTGCCCTGTCTCAATAGACCCTACTAAAAGTTTGCCCCCTTCTTTCTTATAAGCACCTCTAAGTACTGAAAGGCAGTAATAATATTTCCTTGGAACCTTCTCTTCTCCAAGCTGAGTATCTCCAACTCAGCCTGTCTTCACAGGAGAGATGCTCCAGACCTCTGACTCATTTTATGCCCCTCCTCTGGACCCATTCCAACACATCCATGTTTTTTTCTGTGCTGACAGAAATTTATAAAGTTGATTAAAAAGCTGATGACTTTATATTTATGTCCTCTATCCAAAAATTCCAGGTACCAGGTGATTCCAATCTTGTAAGACTCATAGTGCTTGTGAGGTAAGGGACTATTCCTGATGGTTTTTTACCTAAGACAGAGGCAGAAAGAACTTGTGTTCTTGGGCAGTGTCACTCAGCACACTGGAGAACACAGAAGGAAAAACCCATTTATCCTACCCTCTGCTATAAATAAGAATTTAGTATTTGCTGCACTTGGAATAAAATCTTTAAACTGGGAGAACAGGAAATATCAACAGAATAAATCACACAGGCTAAATCTGGTGTGTCCATAGGATACGGAAGTTTCAGAATGCAAACAAAGACAAGTGATCCTAAACTTTTATTATGTCCTGAATAAAAATCTTAGCTTCAGAGATTTTAGATGTTAGATATTCAAAACCTAACCTGCTTCTAAGAAGATAAGCAAGCCATTACAATTAATAGGAATTAACTGCAGCACAGGGATCTGCTTGCCAAGGTGAAGTGTACACTGGATTTGTAAAACAATCTGGATGACCTCAATGAAAGTCATGAAAGAGAGAAAGAAACCCATGCCTGTCCTCATGAAAGAGAGAAAGAAACCCATGCCTGTCCTATCAGAAGACACAAACAAATGTTGATACTGTATGGCAAATAGACCACTGAATGCAACAAGCAGATTATCACCAACAATCTTTACTAGGCTTCTCTGTTTCTTTGCTTGTTAGGTTTTTTTCCAAACCATCTTGAACTGAAATTATACTACAAAACTTTATAGAAGATACCATGAAATATTCTGCAGGTTATGTGGGAATGGTAAGTGTGACCATAAAATTGAACTGAAGATGAAGCAAGGTTAGATCTGGGCTGTATCTCATGCTCTAAGCTAAAGATACACACAAAAATTGGAGCCAGAATTTTTGCTTCCTACTCTTGTGTAAGATTTGCCAGACAATATTTACTATTTACAGAAACGCATTCTTGGAAATGTAACTCAAGGGGAACAAACAAGAAAATATTAATAAAGCCTATTAACACAGGGCTAAATACAGACCCACATCTAGAAAGTGATTGCATTTTCAAAAGTTCTGAGTTCTTCTTTAGCAGGGAAGTCACATACACCTCATAAAAATGTAGAATTTTTACTCTCTAGTTTCATGAGTAAACATTTTGAGGGTCCAACCCCTCCTTACATTTGGAAATATTTAGTGTTGTAATTATGCCCAGAAACCAAGTTGTATCTAAACCTCACAGTTCAAGCTGTCACTGTTTTTTCTTCAAATTTACAAAATCTGTGAAGATTTTGAGTTCTGTGCAAGTTTTCTTTTAAGTGCACTTGGCAGAGATAACTTACCTGCCAAGAAAAAAGGCAATGTAGAAGATGGAGCTGTTCAAGTTGACAAACTGGAAAAGGAACATTTTCAAGGCAAAGCTGTTTTCCCACTCAGATTCTGTTCTAGGGTGCTCTTCAGAAAGACACAATATACATTATATAAACAAAAATGAAATTGAGTTATGCATAAGTTTGCTCACAAATCAATCAACACTAACAAAACAAGCAATGGTTTAAAGTCATGGTGCCCCATCATGTTGCAATTGATTTCTTTTCATTGCCCCAGCTCAGTTTATATTGTTTCTATGTATAAACAGAAGATAGAAGCCCCTTGGTTCAGAATAAATCACAATACTATGGGAAGAAACCTGTTTCACTTCCATGAAAACATTTGGAAAGTAGTGTGAATTTTTTATCTTAAGATTAAAGGTATCTTGATTCAAAGAAAAAAACTCAACACAAAAAAACCCACAAAAAACCCACAAAACCCAGCCAAACAACAACAAAACCCCCAAACAAACAAACAAAACCTAAACCAACCAACCAAACCCCCAAAAAAACATGAAAGCACTTGGAATCAGTGGAGCAATAGATGGGGGTTGCCAAGGGAAGCAGAGGTGAAAAAGTCAACTAAAAGCCAGCTGATCTCTCATCCACACTTCTCAACTTCTAAATACTCCAGTAATTACTTCATTAATTACTTCATCCTCAAGCATTCCCTTTCATAATTCTTGTGGAGTGCCAAACAGTTCATAACTCAGTGAGGAAAGGACAGAGGTTCTTTCTTGACTTCTTTTCTTTTAGAAAGAAATGTAGAAATGTGTAGTAGGGCTACAAGTGTTCTTGTCTACAAGTGAGTGGGTCTGCACTGCCTTGGATATCTGTCCTTAAGGTTTGTAGGACATCATGTCTGAATTAGAATTTGGTGATAATGTTTACAAATTAATTTTGACAAAACCCATCTTTGATGGAAATATCAAAGTTGGAATATAGTACACTGGTAAAAGTTATAAAGCACAGGAGTTGTAAAGCACACGAGTTGTAAGCCTAAACTGCCTGGATTTGTCAGTTAAAATTTGTACTACTTAACTACTCTGGTGTAATGATGACTAAATTTGGATAGAAATACCCAGGACACTAGCTTTACACATGGACAGTTGTTCCCAGAAGGGTTCCTTTTCTGATGTAAAGCACCTTAGCAAAAAGAATGAGCTACCTGTCTGAAACATCTAAATCTATGAGCTACCTAGCTTGAACACCTAATGCTCCATTAAGTTTAATTCAAGAAATCATTTTTGAAAAAAAATCATGTATTTTGGGAGAAAACTACTTATACACTTAAACAATTATTTTCTTTCCTATTCTGCTTTGTGTAACAATACAAAATATTTTTAAAATAATAGAAATAAGTTTGATATGAAGAGATACTTTAAAATATTTTAATAATTTGAGTAAGTTGACTATAAATTCTGAATTTTTCTAGCCTGTTCTACTGCCTGTTACCTGAAGCACTATAAAGTTTTGAGCACCTTGTTTAATACTTTAACTAAAAGAGGGATCTGTGGAATTTAAGCAGCCAGGTGGCATTTAACCAAGACAAGATCACTTGCATAATTTGACATGGGTTAAAAGTGAGCATGTAAAATGAAACACTAAACATTAATACATTGACACAGCCAGAGATCTTAAATTCTGTCTTTGCTTTCTTGTTTTCTATTAGCTAGGAAGTTTTATGTCTGTGATTGAATCATGACTAGAGGCTTCAGTATAAAATTTTAATGTTACAGAAATGGAGCTACTTTAAAATTCATGACTTAACATTTTTATCCAGGACAACTTCATTTTATCTTAAGCCATTTTTTTCTGATCTGAAAGATTAAATTGATTTAATTTTAACTTGTTAAAAATAATAAAAAATAAACCAAGCATTTGGAGAAAACTGAGAAAAACCCTTTAGCGCAATAAGAAGGAATAAGTTTTGACTTTTGCTCCAAAACAAGATTACTGTTTTTTAATGTGTACTATGAAACATTAAAAGTAGAAGTATAAGAATAAATTCCTTGGTTTTATTTTTTTTCTTCAGCAAAATAATAAGTTGTTTTCTTTCTGTGTTATTTCTCACTTGCTTAGAGAAATGCCAAAAACATACTTCAAAATGAAATTTTCAAAACACTTCTTTAAAAGTAAATATAGAAGTATACTACAAAGGTATATGCCACAGCCATCAAGAACCATACAATGGGTAAAGACCTACATACCTAAGTCTGTCAGGAGATAGGCAACCTTTTCATATACCTAAAACAGAAATGAAATGGTGTAAGTGTTGGACATCCTGGCTGATGTGATGACAAATCTAAAATGAAAACAAGCATCAAAAGCATCAAGGTATCTGGACAGACAGGGGAGAGCAATGCTGTAGCTATGTGATCTGTGTAGTTTCCTATAAAGACTTCATTCAACTCCTCCAGCCCCACTCTCTTTATCCATGTAAATATATATAGGCATGTATAAATGTACATTAAATACACAATAACTATAAACCAAAACCAAATAGATCAAGAGAAATATTCAGGTATCAATGGTTTTCTTAATGAACAGTTAGATGTTTATCCTTTAATTTCAAGAATGGACTTATGTAATCTAAAAGTAGGCAAAAAGCCTTGACACAGTTTTCCTTTGCATGAATCTGGATACAGGTTGAGGATACCAGCCTTGTACTGAAAATTTATCTCTCTATATCTTTACTATCCCCAGTCTTTATTTTAAACTACATTTAGCCCCAGGCATTGCCAACTTTGAAATATATTTCCTTGAGTATACTATAAACAGCAAGTTAGTTTTGATAGCTTTGCTTGTTCACTTGAATATTTTTTAATGATGTGGAGTGATCATATATTATAACAGAAATAACTACAGGATCTTTGGAAGAATTATTGCAGTGAATGCAATGCCTTAAGAGAATTAAAAGGCAATGTCACTGTTAAGCTGGGTTATTATTCTTTTTGAGCTGTTTCTGCTTGCATGGGAATAGAAAGACAATAAATAACAATGCAGCTGAAAAAACAGAGTTTCTGTCCATGTAATGCTGTAAGAGCAAATGATTCAGCCTGTGCTGTTACATGACAGAAAAAACTTAACAGCAAAATCATATATCACAGTGATTCTAGGACTGTGCAACACTGGTATCAGAGCTGCATTTTAATAAGAAAGGTAAGAATCCAAAGTAATTAATCAAAAACAACCTGGAAGCCAAATTCTAAGTCAAGAAAATAATGTAGTTCCAATTAGAGATCTACTGAAAAAGGCAATATTAAAAAAATACAAATGTAAAAGGCAGCAATCTGTACCCCTGTAACTTGGTGCCATAAGCAAATATGTGCAGTGACAAATTAAGGAGGAAGTAGAGAAAAACACTGACAAACATTTTATCAGAGGAGAAAAATCCACTGCAATACTAGCTTCAGACACTGCTACATGAATAAGCACGAACATGTATATATCTAATACATGGTTAACTCAGTAAGCTTGTAAAAATTACTCTTTTAAATTAATTGCTCCTTTAAAAGAACAGAAGACTTACAACATTGAGTGACATGATGATCATAAAATTGATACAGACTCCAGTGCCAGAAGTTGCAAACTGCCAATACTTCTTGATGAAATACCACTTGAAAGAAGCAAACTGCTCCATGGCTACCAGTCGATACACCACAACTGCAAACACTGCAGTAAGGACCAGTGAAATCTACAGGTATGTATTTATGAGCAGAGGTATTAGAACAAAAGAAATCACATCTGAAATAAAATCCACTGAAAAAATAAAACAAATGTTTTAAAGATTGATATTTGTCTTGGAAAGCAGAATTTGAGAGAATAAAAAAAATAGATGAGTTAAAACATTACTGTTCTTTTACAATATAACTATATTCCATCTTGTGAAGCAAAGAGATCCCTGAACAAGCAGTAAGACAGACAATCAGTTTTGCCTATACTTTGTAAATCCACAAATCTTTATGAATGCAGTCATGCTGAGTTACTATTTACATCAGAATAAGATGAATTACAATACAATAACTCTTATATTATTAAACATCACCATGAAGAATATTCCTGAGACAGACACCATCAGTCGACTGAGTTTATCAGGGAAAGGCTGAAAAGGTTCAGGTTTTCCTGTGATGGGATTTACTCGTTCCACTTGGGAATATTTAGCTTCAAACTGGGGACGCAGCTCTTCCTGCAATGACAGGGTGGATTCCATTTGTTGTATTACTTCTGTCTCTCAAGAACCAGACATACATGTGCTATAAAGCAGAATATTATACTGATACAAATTATTTTTTATAATTCTTCAACTCAAACACCTGAATAATTTGCTTTTTTGAAAATCTTTGGAAGCAGTGCCAGGGATCAGCAAAGAACAGAAACCACAGGAGCCTTTCCCACTATGTGAGGGTGTTAAAAAGAATCATGGATCATACTGCTGACTTAGACACTGGATTGTCTGCAAAAATTGATAATAAAACTATAAATTAGGGCCAGTTATAGTGGAGTTTTTTGCGTTATGAGAGCATTTATTAAAAGCTGCCAGCTTCAATCTAGCCATCCATGGAAAGCTGTAAAGCAAGTGAAGCCTATGGACTTAAACTGCAATTAAATTGCCAATATAGGTAAAGTATAGCTTTGCTGAGTAGTGATCTATGGAAGAACAAAATTTTATTATTGCTGATGCTGATAGCAGAATGTTCAAGGATAAGCTATGCCTCTCTAAACTATACAAAATCTAGTTTCTGTCTTGTTGTTTTTCTTGGTCCTATTTTTATGCAGGATCAGGAATTTACAGAACAAGAAACCATGGAACCGAAAGGCAGCTATGCTGACATCAGACGTAGCTCCTGTCCTCTGTACAGGAATTATTTCCTCTCATTTTTTCCAAGGATACTTCTAATAAATGTAGAATTATATTTGGAATTACAATGTTAGTTGCAAAAGGCAAAATATCCTTGCACAATCTCAAGCACACCTTTGTATTCTGCAACTAGTGCTATAAATGCAAATACCATCTGAATGACAAACTCAGATGACTGACATACAATATGGGTTGATAATGAGACTTCAACCATGCTGATAGCACGGATTTACATGTTTACTTCTGTTTCTTCTTACCTCTTCATCTTCCCAGTCTATGAGGTCCCAGTCATAAGTTAATACAGCTCTTCGTCTTTTCCAAAACTCTAGAAAGACTGTGGCTGTGGAAAACAACTGTACTTTAATTACAGGGGGAAAAAAGGGCCATGCAGATCTTAAGAAAATCATCAATGTATCATTAGCCACTTTCTGACAGTTTTCCTCATAGAATCTGAAAACTCTAAGTAGTTTCAGGATACTCCCTGTTAAATTTAAAATACTATTTGACAATGTTTATCTAAAAATCATATTTTTGTTGTCTGCAGTGTATGTACAGAGATAAGTACCTGTCAATATGAGACATTGCCATCCCTTTAAATTCATCATTTTGCTTTTCATTTTATTCAAAACATAAAATCTTCTCTTGCAGAAACAAGGATACACATGCACAATGATATCTATTAATAAAGAGCTAACAGCTATCTCATTCAGTTCAAGTAAAACAACCTCATTTCTTTCCCAGCTATAACAGTTTTATACTGAAGCAGTTTTGCTACTAGAATAATTCTTTAGACAATTATTTCTAATCCAGTTGTGAGACCATAATCAGATTCTCCACGTACTTAGGGGTTTTTATAAGATAATTACAACTAATAAATAACTCCAAATTTCCAAAACATCACAGTCTACCGCTGAGGGTAAGACACCTTGTTTAGGGTGTGATTCCTGACAAAACATAGAATTGTCCAATTGTTCCTTGGAAAACAATGAATTCAAACAGGAAGTAAAAAAAATTTGCTTCCTTCTGGAACTGCTCAGATGGATTTCTAACTCAGAATAAATAGGATGGTGTTTATCTATATTTCTGTACTATGTTTAATATCTTTTTGGGTTTCTATACATACTTGATATATAATTACTTACATATATTATACCTATATCTGCATAAATATACATGACTTATCTATATAATACATTAAAGCACAGCAACCAGAAGTTAGCAGAAGTTCACCATACCACTATAATCCATAAATAATGGATTGTTAAATGAAAGGAACTTGTCCCTGACTATTATTTCTAGGTAGTATGTGCTTTTATTCTTTGAAGCATGGCTCTACAGATGTAAGTTTCAGATGCTCTTAACAAAAACAGCACCCAGCTCTCAATTTAAGCAGTAGTGGAGTTTACCACAACCCATAATAGGTTCTGGTACTTTATGAATAACAAAAAATTATGTCTTTTATGTTACATATGTACATGAAACATTTGACAATGCAAAGATAAACAAAAGCTTCTATCTAGAAGAAGCAGGTGAGGCCAAATCCTCAGTTAACTGTACTTGTCAACTGAAGCACCTTTTCCAGACTCACCTGAGGTCTTAAAAAAGCTGCAGTGTTCTCTTTCCCACAGTAGAATAGAATTCATAATTTTGCTGTGCTACAGGGCTACTGAGAAAAAAGCTAAAGGTATATAAAAAGCCTTGCATTTTGGAAGAAAAGCAAGTCACAAAACTTCTGCTGTGGTGTAAAGTTCTAGTCTAAATAACAGTGAAAAAAAAAATCAGAATTTTTAAATTCAAGTATATGTCCAATTCTACAGAAAGATTCTTCCTGAAGCCTGACTTACTTTACTGCATCACACTGTTAGAAAACATACCAGTTTAAATTTTTTTTATATAACCATAGCCAAGTGTGTTCACATTTGCCCTGGGGAAAGGAAACTGAAGATTCCTTCCTTGTATCTCTAGGTGAGGCCTGATGCACTTTGCATTTCAGCAGAAACAGGAGTAGCCCCAAAGAGACAAAGGCCATTGACAGAACATCAGTGGCCATCTACCAACATCTACCCCAGACTCTGCCTCTGGCAGAGTTGGAGACATCTTTTCCAGGAAAGACTGATAACAAAATCAAGGAATTAAGATCTAATTAACATCAGAAGCAAAAAAATCCATATCCAATAGGAAACCAAATACTAAGAATGAAGAAACTTGGAACCAATGAACACGGACACAATTCCTTTCCATGAGTTTTGACTGTATAAAAGACCTGAAAAATCATAAAAACTATGTGTCATGGAATGATTCTCTCTGCACAGCTGGGCTAGGTGTGGATGAGACGATTTCTGTGGTACATCCTGGCCAGATAATAAAAGTAATGCAGTGAGATGCCAACTTAAAAATGTTGTGGAAGGGTTTTTGTTTTTCCTGCAGTTTCAGTGAGAACACCACTAATACCACCTGTTGTGGTTTAACATAGCTTGGTTTTTAGTTAAGGAGAAAATCCATCAACTAGGGAAATGATTCTTTGTAACAACCTTGTCAGCCTCCTTCAGACCTGACAAATCCAATCAGCTGGCTAGTTTTGAATACTGACACCCTGTTAAATCACTTTAGAAAGCTGAACACACCTCTGTGAAATCACATTTAAAAACTAACAAAGCCTGGAAAAAAGTCTCTTGCTTCTGGTTTTTGGACAGGTAACTGGGTGCCCGCCTGTGGCCTGGCCAGGTTGGCCTGTGGCTTGGTGTGGCTGAGATTCTGCTTCCAGGGAATTCCAGCCACGGCTGGCAGAATTCACTGGAAGCAGAATCTCAGCCATGGGCCAGGCCAGCTCTGCTCGACTTTGGTGGCGCTGAGGCGAGCCCTGCTGTGGCCAGGAGCCACCGAGCCATCCTGCCACGGGAAATCACGCTGCTAAACCCAGAGGCGGCCCTGCAGCCCGCCCAGAAAAGCAGTCCTGCAGCTAGAATTAAATGCAGCAGGGGCTGGAAAACAGACATGCTGCCAAAACAGCCACTGCTATTCCTGCCCACCCCCTGAGATCCTGGCACAGACCCTCCAGCATGACCTGAAATCGTGGCCTGAAATCCTACACTGTGATCGCTCCAGCTGCTGCCCAGCACGGATCACACAACCATCAGCAGGCCCAGGTGAGATATTACCTCTTTCAGTACACACAATAAACTTACAGACATCAATCCTTTCTGGAGTAAGAGAAAAGGGAAGGGTGAAGACACATCAAGAAAACAACATAGAGACACCAAAGTCAGTGAAAAAAAGTCAAATTCCAGATTGGAGGAGAACAAAGAGATGAAGGTTGTACTAAAGAACAATGAAGTGCTGATGCTTCAAGCCTTCTTCGGTGTCAGTCATACCTCCACTGTCAAGGTAACACTTCTTGTGAAGAAATTTTTCCTAATATCCAATCTAAACCTACCCAGACACAACTTGAGGCCACCTCCTGTCATCCTGTCATTTTCTGCTCAGGAGAAGAGACTGACATCCACCTTGCTACAACCTCCTTCTGTTAGGTAGTTATAGAGAGCAATAAGGTGCCCTCCAAGCCTTTTTATCTCCAGCTTAAACACCCCCAGCTTCCTCAGCTGCTCTTCATCATCCTGGTGCTACACACCCCTCCCCAGCTCCACTGAGTTCTCTGGACACACTCCAGCACCTCAAAGTCTCTCTTGTAGTAAGCAGCCCAAAACTGAACGTGATTTCAGGTGCAGCCTCACCAGTGCTTAGTACAGGGAGACAGTCATTGCCCTAGTCCTGCTGGCTACAGGAGGACTTTTGTTTTTCTGACAAAAGACAGGAATGCCACAGGCCCTCTTGATCACTTGGGCAGACTGTTGGTCCATGTTCAGCCAGCTATCAACTGGCACCCCCCAAGCCTTTTCCACTGGGCAGTTTTCCAGCCACTTTTCCCCAAGCCTGTAGCTCTCCACAGGGTTGTTGTATTCTTCAGGGTTGAAACTGCCACTTAGAAAATACAGGCTGAAGTATAGCTTAGCTTTTAGCTTTTTTATAGCTTTTACACTCCTGGAGAACACTGAACCACCTTGCCTCCATAGGGCAACAGCTCCAAATCTGATCCCACCTGGTCTCACTGCTGGAGGTTTTGCCTCCCAGGAACAGTGGGACAGCACTCAGCACCAGCCTTTGAGCACCACACTGCAGGGGTACAACTCACAGCCAAGAACTGAGTCACAAACATCTTCCACCAGGTGTTAAGTCACTGAGGTAAAAAGATTTTACTTTCCAAATATGTGGGAATTCCAAACACAGAAAGTTCTCAAAACCTTGTAAATGCAAGCTTAGATATAGACATGGACACAGGGTTTGATTTAAGGTCTTGGAGAAAGCTTCCATTCTTAGAATCATAAGAACGTGAGTTTAGACAGAGAAGACATTAAGCAAAGTAGTAGGAAATTTTAAGGTTTTAAAGTTAAGATATAGAAGCAGTTATAAAGGCAATAAGAAGTTTAAGGTATAACAAGTAGTTTTGTGTGTCATTATATGATTGGTTCAGAATGTCTGCACTGCGGCAAAGACATATAAAACAAAATAATTAACTACTGGTGTAAAAGTAGAAACATTCTTTTGTGGCATTAGTTTATTGGCTAATTAACCTTTAAAAGATTTTGTGATCTACAGTCTTGTGACCACTGACCAAGAACATCTGGTAAATAATGTGAAGAAGCACTCACTCCTTCATGAGACCATAAAAGAAGAATAATAAATCATGCTTTAAAATGTCTTTAAGTGGTTCCGTGTCTCTCACAAAATCCTGATAATAAGAGATGAGTTGAATTGCTAACAAACAAAAAAGAGAGCAAGGACACCTTCCTAAAGCCAATGCTGAGGTCCAGGATAACACTAGAGGGGTATGACTTTCATACCACTTCAACAGATATACTTGAACTTTCAGATTATATATTTAATAATATATTTTAATATTATATATTTTATAATATATTTAATATAATATATATATTTCAGGATTTCATATTATCTATTTAAGATCTTGATATTTTCGGATATTATACAGGGATTCAAACCACCTTTATTTTTAAAAACTCTCAGAAAGGTTTATCAGCACCAGGTATGCATGCTGGTGTGAATACTGTTGACCCCAATACATGACATCTCATTTGATTATTGCTGTGAAAGATTTGGACGTAAATTAATGGTGCCTGCTTTCACATCTCATGGACAATCTATTAGATAGATGTCCACGCAGACACAGCAATAAATGTGAATTAGAATCTAGCTGATACACACTGAAGAGAATCTTGTATTTATAGAAATAAACCAAAAATCAGAAAACCAAACCCACAGCAT